TTTAGTACGATGAATGCATTAATTTATAAAGAAGCTGAAGAGTATTTTGTGTAGAAATTAACATGTTCCGGTGTCATTGTGCATAAGTACACCACCATCGCTGATGATATAATCAACTCGTGCCAGACACCAATATCTCATCTGTAATAAGTAGTTCGTTTAAATGAGATCCTATAATACTTTTTATCAGACATACACAATAAAATACGCACCTGTGTGTTGGTCTGGTTAGATTGTAGAAAACAAACCAGGTTGTTGAATGTAATTGTGGGCGGTAGATCTTTTCTGAAAAGCTTGGTTGGTGCGATGGGATTGTCTTGAAGTACCTTAATAGGTAGGTGGGTGTGGAAGAAACACCGACCGCCACCCTACCTTCATTATCCTATTTCCCTTGGATGTTTCGCCACATTGTCCGTCTACTTCTACCCCTTCGAGCGACGCTGAGTTCGCCGATTTTCTGTGACCAATGATGACCACCGATTACACACTCGCATGGGCGCAAACAGGTTTGATTCTTGACTTTTTCGACCTACCCTGTACATTACCGCCCCTAATGGATGGTTTTACATTCGTTCCTTTTATGACCTTCTTTCTAAATGTAGATCTATCGGCTGCGCCTCTGGTACTTCGCTCGCTCCATCTTGGTCACAACGACGACCCCATCATTCTCCGCCTACTCAATCGATGGATCGAGAAAGACCAGACTAATCCCTCGGATCCTGCTACATTTCACACACTCTGGATTGACAAAAATGTACGACTACCTTTAGATCTATTTATTTAGGTCTACATGTTATTAATATCTCTTTAATTTTTGCTTTTTTAGGAAGATTTAATCGAGGGGTTTGAATGCTTTACCCTCGCACATTCTGAGACCTCTTCTTTGGTAATCGATCGCATATATCTACTTCCTTGGGTGTCAACGATTGAAAGAAGACCCTTGAATAGAACATGTGGCCACCCATATCGTCTATGCATCACACCAACGACCATACTGCCGGAACTCAACGAATTTCCACCCTATCCATGGTTTCCACGAAAAGGATTTAATTCGATACCATTCTCTGAGCTGGGCCAATCCGCGAACTTAGAGACCGAATATAAAGGTATTTACTTCGGTTTTCCTATTCACTTTGATAGTATTCTCTGACCATTCTGTTACCCTTGCTAGATATTGCTGGTCGACTGATGAAAATAGCAAAAGACCGAACACGCTCCGGTGATAATTTCTTCATAACTGCAATGCTTCAAGATAATTAGTGCGTATATCCTCGTGGTTTTCGTTTGCTTCACTTTTACATAAAGTTTAGTACTTTCTCACAACATTTATACTGCCATTCTGCATTGGAGATACTATTTTCGTGGAGTATACTTAAGCTCATCCGGATTTTTCACGCTCATTCATAACAAAACTAGAACAACAGGGACCGGTCGTGTATGCATTAACTGCGATGAGATTTACTGGAAAGAAAGGTTTTTGTACATTGTATTTTCTTATTGTCAGTCGCCTAAATTTATAACTAATCTGTTACCAACGACTTTTGATCAAGCAGATGGGAGACTATGCTTCACCAACACACAGAGTTCTCGAATCATAGTAGGCCACTACACACATCGTTTTCGACAACTAAAGGACACGTGGTTATGAAGACAAACTCCTTATAAAATTCACAACTATCTTTTAATCTGCCTTTCCTAATTATTCTATCGATTCAGCTTCTCGCATATTCATCGGCCTGTCCAGTTCAGTATCAATCCAGGAACAACACCTGTCTTTGTTCGTGGAAACTTACCTATCAGAACAACACTTATGAGGTTACTAACAATATTAGAGTCCTCATCCCGGCCATGTGACGTAAACTTCTAAACTCAAACTAAACATTTTAGGTGCCATAGATGTGTTTGCTAATTTGAGTACCATCTGTGTTTTTTGTTTTCCAAGTTTCATGCTTGGTGCCTCATCAGAATTGATCATGTCCACACAAACAGACCTTTATATTACCATACAAATCCCGATAGCTGTTCAGACTCGGCGATTTTTTATGGGTCAGTACCCTTACAGCTTTCCACATTACATGAATGAACACGATCAGCTTTACTTATTGTATGGTGACTCGATTTCAGATTCAATGTTGCATGCGAGGATATCTCGACTGATTACAAGCTTCGCACTATTTACTTCGAAAATGATGCAGCAATTGCGCTCCTTCAACAACCACCTGACTTCTTCACAACAACTAATCGTGAAAAACAATCAGCAAGTCTGGAATCTGTTAAAGGAAAAATATTAACGGTCGAAATATTTCTAGACTATGACAGGGAATTTTTTGTACCCGTGCTTCGTGTGACCACCATATGGGATCCATTGATGTATAATATCGGAGCTGAATAGAGCTTAGTGCCTGATATCGCCACCTTTATCTCCAGTTCTGCACTTTTAGTTCGAAACTATCCTTTGACACATTTAATTCTACCACCTTTTATAATTCTGTTCTGTAGAATATTCTCCTGATGTTTAGGTCATATATGGTGAAATATTCTCCTAATTTATCACTCCCAGTCGCATCCAGAAGGTAGAACCGCTTCTGACATGAATACGACAGAATTGCATACTAATGGAGCGCTCACAACCTTCCAAATATTCAAACAATGAGCTTACCATCCCTAAATATAAACGTCTTCTAGGCCATATGCCTCTAACCAATGGGCCCACTACTTATGGGCCATCCAAAACTACCATTTCCAACCCTTACATCTCGGCCCATAGATTTCCCATACACAAACCTAGGTTCGTATCTTTCCAAAACACTTACACAGTGCCATCTTCAACCAGCTGCCGCCCTTCTTCTCCGTACTCCCAATTCCGCAATATACACCACTTACGTCGTTCGTTCATCCAGATTCGGCGACAAAGATGCATGTGACGACTTACTGAGGTAAATTCCTTCCTTTATTTTTCATCTCCAGGTCAGTAGATTTACGCGACCTTGCCAAAACCGCTAAATTTGTTTCTTTTTTCCCCTTTTCTTAGATCCAGTTCCATTTTGGAGACCGTATCCTTTCCTTGCCAGTACAGATTGCCTGCATATACTTACTCTACATAATGTCCAGAAATTACGTGTTTCCGTCCAATCCAAATGGTTCGTCCCATCACAAACCCATCGATTCACAAAATATATATTCACAAATTATATATGTATATATAATTTTACAATAAATCAATACTCGGTTTGCTGTTGTTGCTAGACCCGATTATGACATCCACTGTAATCAGAGACCTCCATGGACCTTTGCTGACACATCATATCGTCCTGCGTTTGGTTCACACCTGGCTATCCGATGAATTCATGCCACGAAAAGGACCTCAATTCTTCTACACTCTATGGATGGACCGAGAGGTAAGCCTATACACAATTGATGAAATTAGATATTGTTGTACTTCTCCAAACCCTGTCACATACTAACCATTCATGGTCACACACGGTTAACAGGAAAACTTAATCGAAGGTGTTATAAAGGAATCAGATATTGCCTTTACGGAGAACTATCTTTCCGTGCAGACATTGTACAAAATTAAGGCAGTAACTTTTACTAAAGCAAAATGAACTGGCGAGTTGCCCCTGGTGAGATTCGTATGCATATTTCTGAAGAAATTGAATTAACAAAAATTGATGAAATTCGGTTCAGAGAAAAATTCCCTGTTGATGCCTTCAAAGATATGGAGTTTGAAGACTTATCACACATGGTCACAGAGACTACTCATCTGGCAGGTAATACTTCAGTAATCAATTCTCTACAACCTATCATACCATCCTACCCTTACACGACCGTTCTTCTTCCTTTTCAGATTTAACAGGCCGCTTGTTATCCGTTTCAGAACCATATCAGCAGGCCAACGACTCAGTTCTCATCACAGCAATTATAGAGAACACCAGGTTTGCCACTGCACGCTGGTATTTTTATACACGACTAATAAGATACAATTTATAACATTATCAACCATCCTTTATCTAGGAATGTCACTGCCACTATCTACTACACTTCAAATTCCGACCATTTTTATCGATTTTGTGACACCATGGAACTTTCACATCCAGTCCTGATAACCTTTACAAGCATAGCAATTACGGAACCTGAACCAGACAGTAAGATACTATTCACGATTATTTAAATACATAATAAACTGCACTCCTCAATGCTTTCTTTGGCAATACAGATCGGTTGCTTCTTAGAAGTACACCTGCAACACGACTGCTCTATGGTTCATACACTCACCGATACAGGACAATGATGGATACTAATTTTCAGGATCCACAGATTTGTGTCACTATTGCTTATGATATTTATAAGCACTTGTGAGTTTTTGAGCTCTACTTGAGTCCCTAATATTACGCATATGAATTGACCTGTATCTTGTCGGCATTTAACCTCTAACATTGTCATGGTACTTATAATTTTCATAGTTGCAGACTAAGAAAAGACCAGCAACAGATTTGATGGGAAAAACTCATAAAGATATAAATGCCAGTATGCGTGCTATATCGACAGATTGGATCGTGGAGGTTGCATAAGAGTACAGACTTGTGCCAGATACCTTGTGTTTGACCGTTAACTGCAATGTGATGAACAAACAGAGATTGCAATAGCTTGGTGTTGCCTCCATGATGATTGCTGCGTGAGTAACAAGTTTCATGGTTTCTTGTTTGACTGATGTTCCTTTTCTGTTGTGAAGTAACATACTAACAACACCAGACCATATTTATATTGACAGAACCCATGACCCACATGGATATGTTCCCCTTCCAATGTTTGAACCTTTCCTAACCTTTGCCCTTCTCAACCAACTCAGCTAACGGTACTCATTTCCCTCTGACAGAGCTTCGATTATAAAATATAAATAAAGAGGTCATAGGCAAGCAACCAAATATGTCCAAAAAAAAACATCTGGCTTCGGAGATCATATGAACTGCAATTTTTGTATAATTCAGGATATTCGCATAACAAACTGCAGAAGGGCAAATACCGACAAAGGTAAGAGTGGCAAATGTATGAACAGTAGGAGGCGAACACACAAAAGCAGGTTTCAAGTCCTGATAAGCCACTGCTTTGGCATACTCCAGCATCATTATTCCAGAAGAGAATCTACATTCACGAGGCAGGTCCAAAAACAGAAGTTCGTCGATGACACCGCTGCCAAACTTGATTTCATTAAGTCTACGCAGCACTTCAAAAGTTGCCTCTACAGAAGGAGGAAAAAGCAGATAGTACTAAAAATCAATATTATGCGCCACAAATAAGTCATATGAATGCTAGACTGTATGCTATGACACTTTATGTTGGCGAAAACTCAAGTTTTTTGTTGGAAATGTGTATGAATAGCTTTGAAAGCTATAGAGTCTCAAGTGGAAAAACTACCACATTGGTAGTTTTACTTGGTGAAATGAGTATAAAGATAGGAGCCTCTCTCCTAAGGGCATGCCCCTTGGGGTGACCCACTTTTGTGGGAGAGGGAGGACCTAACGGACCACCACACACACGCGCGCGCCGTCTGTCCGACCGACCGGTCGGTTGGTTGGTTGGATCACTTGAGACTATATACATATTTTTTGGAGAAATTCTGAACGAAATTAATTATATAATAATTAATTATTAATCGGTTATTCTGAGGAATATTCTAAGGGATAATCGATTGAAAAGGAATATTCGAAGGATAATCCCCGCAGGATTTATCCTAACCGACGGTTTTAATTCAGGAAGTAATTATCTTCCTTAATTAATTTGACTTATTCCCCAAGCAGGAGGGTATATTCCTAGGGGTTCGGCTCCTATAAATAGCCGCCTCCCCAGCCCCTCTAAACACACCACAACGAGCATAAACACAATAGAGAGAGTGTTCAGAGAGCTCCGATTTTCGCACAAAACCGCGAGTACACAGAGGAGCTGTTTTATCCTAGAGACGACCGGTTGATAGTCTGCCGTGCGCATTGAGGGCAGTGTCGCGAACGTCTTAAAGAGAGCGACCTAGTCCGCGGCTCAGCTCCATATTCGGTAACCTTGTTCTCGTTGTTGTTCCGTTCCTAACAATTTTAAGACGTTCGGCTGCTGCTATGTCGACTGAACAGAACAACATGGCCGGATCTGGTGCTGTCGATATCAATCGACCGTTTCGCTTCGTTGGAGTCAACTTCCGTCGCTGGAGACAAAAGATGGAGTTCTACCTGACGACCAAGAAGTTGGCACACTGCCTCACCAACATGCCCGTCGAGCTGTCGGAAGAAGCGACCGATGAGGAGAGAGCTGCTTCTGCTAAGGAAAGGGAGCATGACTTCCTATGCAAGAACTACATCCTCAACGGCCTGGCAGACGACCTCTACGACTACTATGCGGACATCAAGAACACCGCAATGATGATCTGGGATGCGCTCCAAAAGAAGTACGACACGGAGGAGGCTGGAGCTAAGAAGTATGTTGTCAGCCGCTACCTGCGCTACCAGATGGTGGATGACAAGTCTGTCGAATTTCAGTCCCACGAACTTCAGAAAATAGCTCATGAGATCGTCTCTGAAGGTATGCCTCTGGACGATCAATTTCAAGTTGCTTGCATTATTGATAAGCTGCCCCCTTCGTGGAAAGATTTTAAGAATATGCTTAGACATAAAACCAAAGAATTTTCACTGGAAAGTTTGATTACTCGCCTAAGGATTGAGGAAGAGTCCCACAAGCAGGATATGAAAGAAGAGGTGATGGTCGTCACTGCTAAACGACCCACCCCTAGAGCTCTTAAACCTAACCAGAAAGGGTTTAAGGGTAAGAACCAGCAGGTCCGCCCCCACCAGAATGGTGCCTCTCGAGGTAACCAAAGGGTCATGGCCCAAACCTCTAAGAATGACCCACCGTTTATCTGCTTTAACTGCGGAAAACCGGGTCATATGGCAAAAAAGTGCAGGAACAAGCAAAACCCCGCCGCTGCGGCCAGGGTTAACTTGACAGAAGAGGATTTGATAGCCATGATCACAGACATGATCGCTGAAGTTAACCTCACCGATGACTCAGAAGGATGGTGGCTGGATACAGGTGCATCGAAGCATGTATGCAACAATCGTGCTATGTTTAAAACATACGAAGAAGCACCTGCTGACAAGAAAGTGTTGTTGGGGACTACTCACACCACTATGGTTGCTGGTTCTGGTGCAGTGGAGCTGAACTTCACCTCTGGGAAGAAGATGGTGCTCAAGGATGTGTTGCACACTCCAGAGATAAGGAAGAATCTTGTTTCGGGATATCTTCTTAATAAGGCTGGGTTTAATCAATCTATTGGGGCAGACTTGTATACTCTTACTAAGAATGGGAGTTTTGTGGGAAAGGGATATGCATGTAATGGGATGTTCAAGTTGAATGTCGAAATTAATAAGATGAATTCTTCAGTTCACATGGTGTGTGATTTGAATGTTTGACATGCTCGTCTTTGTCATGTGAACACACGAATTGTGAAGAATTTAAGCAAGCTAGGACATATCCCTAAACTCTCAATGAATGAATTTGATAAATGTGATTTCTGTAGCCAAGCTAAAATAACGAAAACGCCCCATAAATCTGTGAGTAGAGAATCGGAACCCTTAGATCTGATTCATTCTGATATTTGTGAACTAGATGGGACGTTAACTAGGTTTGGCAAGAGATACTTTATCACTTTCATAGATGATTGCTCTGATTATTGCTTTGTTTATTTGATGAAAAACAAAAGTGAAGCCCTTGACATGTTCAAGGTATTTGTGGTTGAATTCGAAAATCAGTGCAATCGAAAGATAAAAAGACTTAGGAGCGATAGAGGATCAGAGTATGACTCTAATCCCTTCAAGGAATTCTATAGCTCACATGGTATCATTCATGAAACCACGACACCATATTCACCAGAAATGAATGGTAAAGCTGAGCGGAAAATAGGACATTTACAGAATTAGTTGTGGCTATTATGCTCAATTCTGGAGCTGCTTCTTCTTGGTGGGGTGATATTTTGTTGACGGTTTGCTATGTGCTAAATCGTCTTCCAAAAACAAATAGAAAAGAATCACCCTATGAGATCTTGAAGAAGAAGCCACCTAATCTGTCCTATTTAAGAACGTGGGGTTGTTTGGCCTACGTAAGAATTCCGGATCCTAAGAGGGTTAAGTTGGCTAGTCGAGCATATGAATGTGTCTTCGTTGGCTATGCGGCCAATAGTAAGGCATATAGATTCTATGATTTGAATGCTCGTACTATAATAGAATCCATTGATGCTGATTTCTTTGAGACACGATTTCCATTTAAAACGAGAAATAGTGGGGGTAATGTACTACCCGCTATTAGAGATAACGGAACTAGTGGGGGTGTTGGATCTGAGGATGAACTCAGAAGAAGTAAAAGAGCTAGAATCTCTAAAGATTTTGGTGATGACTTTACTACAGTATACACCCTCGAGGATCCAAAAAGTTTGCAGGAAGCATTAACTTCCATAGATGCAAACTTTTGGAATGAGGCCGTTATAGATGAAATGGAATCGTTAGAGGCTAATAAGACTTGGCATCTAACACACTTACCTCCTGGTTGCAAAGTCTTAGGTAATAAATGGGTTCTAAAAACGAAACGGAAACCTGATGGTGCAATCGAAAGGTTCCGAGCTCGCCTAGTAGTCAAGGGCTACAGGCAGAGAGAGAATATAGATTTCTTCGACACCTATTCACCAGTATCTAGAATAACATCCATTCGTGTCATGATTGCTCTTGCTGCCTTGAACAATCTCGTGGTACACCAAATGGATGTTAAGACTGCTTTTTTGAACGGTGATCTAGATGAAGAAATCTATATGGAACAACCAGAAGGGTTTGTTATCCCTGAACATGCCTCGAAAGTTTGTAAGTTGGACAAATCATTATATGGTTTGAAACAGGCTCCAAAACAGTGGCATGAGAAGTTTGACACTCTCGTTCTCTCACATGGCTTTAAGGTGAATGAAAGTGACAAGTGTATTTACTGCAAGTCAGAGAATAACACTTGCACTATCATATGTTTGTATGTAGATGACATGTTGATATTTGGTACAAATATTCACGTGGTCAATGAAGCGAAAGCCATGTTAAAAGAGAGCTTTGAGGTGAAAGATATGGGAGAAGCAAAGTTTATGCTTGGAATCCAGATAACTAGAACAGCAAATGGTTATTCTCTAGATCAATCTAGCTACATAGAGAAGATCTTGAAGAAGTATAACTATTTCGACTGTAAACCTGCGTGTACTCCGTATGATGCTAGTGTAAAGCTATTTAAGAACACTGGAGACAGTGTAAGACAAACAGAATATGCTAGCATCATTGGTAGTCTCCGTTATGCTGCGGATTACACTCGACCAGACATTGCATATGTCGTGGGGTTGTTTGGCAGGTTTAACAGCTGTCCTAGTAGAGAGCATTGGAATGCTATAGAGAGGGTCATGAGATACCTCAAGAGAACAGCTAACCTTGGTATACACTATCAAAGGTTTCCCGCTGTACTAGAAGGGTATAGTGATGCGGATTGGAATACCCTATCAGATGACTCCAAGGCAACCAGCGGATATGTTTTTAACATCGCTGGTGGAGCTGTGTCTTGGAAGTCAAAGAAACAAACAATCCTAGCTCAATCAACTATGGAATCAGAGATGATAGCACTAGCAACGGCTAGTGAAGAAGCAAGTTGGTTGAGAGGATTGTTGTCAGAGATTCCCCTATGGGAAAGCCCGGTCCCTCCGGTATTGATACATTGTGATAGTACCGCAGCTATCGCTAAAGTTGAGAACCGGTTCTATAACGGAAAGAAACGACAGATTCGTCGTAAGCACAGTACTGTTAGAGAACTCCTAACGATAGGAGCAGTGAGGGTGGATCATATAAGATCCGAACAGAATCTAGCTGATCCTTTGATGAAAGGATTACCTAGAGAGAAAGTCCAGAATACCGCCAAGGGTATGGGGCTTATGCCTACCGAACCACGGACTACAAGTGATGGTAACCCGACCCAATAGACTGGAGATCCCAAGAAATGGGTTCAATGGGTAATAACAAGTCATGAGTAGTATGCGAAAAGTTCATGCATAATGAAGCATGAATCCCAAAGCAATGGAGGTTGAGTTAATAACTCTTAATGAGATCTATACCCTATGTGGGGTGGAGTACTTTACTTTGGGGGTACTCCTGATAGACTCACCTATGTGAATGTGGGAGTGGGGCCGCTCCCTATGGAACTTTGAGAGGCACAAAGTTGCTAGAGCGTTCACTAAACCAGGATAACGTGCATGGCCATAAACTCACGGGCTAAGAAGAGAACACAACTCAATGAAAAGATCCGGTGTGCTACACTGTCTGAGATAGGGTTCAAGACTACGAGTCACCACTACGCTAAGGTTCAAATCTTCGCGATACCTTAGCTTATGCCCGATCCTATGGAACTGTTGATGCTCAGAGATAGTTTCAAAACTATTCAAGTGGGGGATTGTTGGAAATGTGTATGAAGAGCTTTGAAAGCTATAGAGTCTCAAGTGGAAAAACTACCACATTGGTAGTTTTACTTGGTGAAATGAGTATAAAGATAGGAGCCTCTCTCCTAAGGGCATGCCCCTTGGGGTGACCCACTTTTGTGGGAGAGGGAGGACCTAACGGACCACCACACACACGCGCGCGCGCGCCGTCCGTCCGACCGACCGACCGGTCGGTCGGTCGGTCGGTCGGATGGATGGATCACTTGAGACTATATACATATTTTTTGGAGAAATTTCGAACGAAATTAATTATATAATAATTAATTATTAATCGGTTATTCTGAGGAATATTCGAAGGATAATCCCCGCAGGATTTATCCTAACCGACGGTTTTAATTAAGGAAGTAATTATCTTCCTTAATTAATCCAACTTATTCCCCAAGCAGGAGGGTATATTCCTAGGGGTTCGGCTCCTATAAATAGCCGCCTCCCCAGCCCCTCTAAACACACCACAACGAGCATAAACACAATAGAGAGAGTGTTCAGAGAGCTCCGGTTTTCGCACAAAACCGCGAGTACACAGAGGAGCTGTTTTATCCTGGAGACGACCGGTTGATAGTCTGCCGTGCGCATTGAGGGCAGTGCCGCGAACGTCTTAAAGAGAGCGACCTAGTCCGCGAGTCAACTCCAGATTCGGTAACCTTGTTCTCGTTGTTGTTCCGTTCCTAACAGTTTTCACCAGATGTCATCTAGAAATTCAATTCCAAACATGGTCAAGTGGTCAAGGATTACATCCATAATTTCCAACAAGCCGATCCTACCTAGATAAAAAACCAGATGTTTCCATATCCACCTACCAAATCCTCTTCCTGACTTTGAACCACAGATGTCGCACTGTCATGCCTCCTGAAGATAACACAAGAAGAAGTTCAGAAAGTTCCAAATGTAAACAAACCCATCTTGTAAATTTCAAGGTTTTTAAGTACAAATTATCTAATACAAAAATATGGGAGGGTTCCTGACCTGTTCTTTTATGTAGCATACCATAAATGGGATCGAAGTGATGATAAGGTGAGTAACAAGTTCACTGCAAAGAACATGACAAAAATGTAAGTTGCGGTCAAAATAAAGTGGGTAAAATTATTGGGGGGGGGGGGTCTAAATATACCATTACAGTAGCGGTACGGTGAGCTCTGTTGTGTTTCCAAGACCGCTAAATGCCTCATGGTACACTATGTTGCGAGTGTAGTTTGAGGGGATGTTTGGTTCATTAACAATGAGGAGCCGTAGACCTGTAGCTGTCCGGACTCGAGATACAGCAACATAAAGTTGACCATGATTAAAGACAGGTTTCGGTAAGTAAACACCAACACTCTGTAATGTTTGTCCCTGGCTTTTATTGATGGTCATGGCGTAACACAGGCGAACCGGGAATTGCCGTCGTTTAAGCACAAATGGCCAACGACTGTCGTTGATGTTAAGGGCAACTCTGGGAATAGCCACAGTCTTCCCATTAGATGTACCTCCCATTATGAGACCCTTAATAACATAATGACCCAAGAAGACAATCATCAAACGCGTACCATTGCACAAACCTATAGCTGGGTTGAGATTCCTTAACAATAGGGGTGGGAAAACGGTAGCGGTTTTGCGGTTAAACCGCAACCGCACCGAATAAGAGCGGTTTGTGGTTAACCGCAAACCGTTTAAAAGGGTCTTTATTCGGTAACAGTTAGTGAAATTGGCTCTTTTGCGGTTTGTGGACTAACCGCACACCGCACCGAATAAGTAACTCCACCGAATAACTAACCGCGTAAGAGTATACCCAACCCAAGCCCAACCTATCCAACAACCCAAAATGAATTTTCCAAGTGCATTTTCCGTATTAGAACTTAATGTGGATGGTTTCTTTTGGATGTTTAGAACTTAATTCTGTTTCTGACTTTTTCAGGTGCATTTTCCTTGTTTTAGTGTTAATTTATCAAGTGCATGTTGCTGGATTTTACAAGTTAATTCGGTTTTTGTTGCGGTTTTATTTCATTTCGCGGTTTTTTACACCGTTTAACTCTTAATCGCGGTGTGCGGTTTAAAGTGCAGTTAACCGCAATTAACCGCTAACCGTGATTTGTGGTTAGTGGTTAACCGCAAATCGTTTGTATTGCGGTAACGGTGGATGGTTTTCCCCTTGTGCGGTGGCGGTTAACCGCGCTTATTCGGTGCAGTTAACCGCAACCGCACCGTTTCCCACCCCTACTTAACAACATGACTGGCGTGAAGACCTTGAGGTCAATCTGATGCTCTGGATAGCCGTTGAAAGACAGGGTATTGAGGAATTTTGTAGGATATTCGGCTTCAATTCGTCCTGCATCGGTTGCATCAGTATGCAATGTGTCACTGCTAAAATAAGTCCGTATGGGGCCTGGCACCAAAGAAAGCATATGAGTATTAATCTCTGTCACATTGCTGTTTGTTGGAGTCACTATGGATCTTTCAGTCAAATATGAAGCACTGTGAAATCTTTGAGAGAAATCAGAATATATTTCGGAAGTCATCTTCTCGATAGGTGCATCTGTAGATTGGATCATAAAGGATTCTGAAATTTCTATCCAATCAGTTGGTTGGTTCTCAACAAAAGATTTAGCTCGAACAATTCCATCACCAACAGAAAGAGTCCATTCTGCAAAGGTCTGGCCACCAAAAATTCGCCTCTGGTTTGCAGCATCAGAAGTAACACGCATGTTCTGTGTTAGGTGGAGCACAGTGCACAAAGGCCACAGGTAAGAACGTGTAAGAGATGCATCAACACTTTCTTCTCTCCCAGCATCAGCCACAATTGGTAAAGTCTGTCGAAAGTCTCCACCAAGTAGAACTGTTTTGCCTCCAAACGGTATGTACTAGTCACCAGTCAAAGGGACATTCATAATGTCACAGAAAGCACGATCAACTGCCTCAAAAGACAAACGATGAACCATGGGAGCTTCGTCCCATATAATGAGAGATGCACCAATTATTAACTCGGCAAGAGGTGTACCTTTTTTTTATATTACAAGAAGAACCATGGTCAATTTCCAGGGGGATCTTGAACCGGGAATGAGCTGTAGTTGCATTAGGAAGCAAGGTTGCAGCAATTCCCGAAGAAGCAACGACAAGAACAATTCTGCCAAGTTCCTTGAGATGACCAAGAATCGTTCTATAGAGGAATGTTTTACCAGTACCTCCATGACCATGAAGGAAAAAGAAACTTGAAGATCTGGTCTGAGCAGGTAAAACAGAATTTATGACTGTTTGGAATGCTAGTGCCTGCTGCTCATTCAAGCTAGTGGGAACAGGCATTGCGGAGTCAACATCCGGCAGAACAAGACTGCATGTTTCATGTGCAGGAGGCGGTTGCAAGTCATGTAGTGGAGGCTCAACCGTTGGGAGCGGGAGGTTAAAATGTGAGAGAGTTGCTGAATATCCATCTAGCATTCGTTGCAATTCCCACAATAGCTTATTTTAGGCAACTCTGGTGGGATAAGATTGTTATTGAAGCTAACATCTCGCTGGCACTGATATGTTATATCATCCGAAAGCAATTCCCATGTCTTATCAAAAAGACCTAGGGGATCAGACAGTTCACAAAACATGAGCATTGTGACAAATAGATACCTGAGAAGACGACACATGCCCCACTGACTAACCTCTTTGATAACAAGCAACCATTCGTCGTCGTTCGACAATAAACCAAGACGCTGACAAGCTGCCTGATACGTGCGACACGGAAATCCATTAACTATACGTAGATCAGCAAAACTGAGGGCCCCACGAATCTTGGTCAGAAGTTGTATGAGGTAAAAAGTATCTCCACAACCTGGATGAATATAAACAATACGGCCAATTGTAAAACCCTTCTTTCTTTGAGTCCAGTTTTTTTTCTTCAAATCCCATATATATTTGTTCGAGGTCTCTGCATAGAGCAAGGAACGCGCACGTGGGTCCCGTTGGTTAAGAGAAAACCACTGTGTGAGAGTAGTTTCTGAAATAGCATCGCGTGCAAGAATCCGTGATAGTCTCTGTTTCTTTCTATAAGGAACGCGGTGCTTCCCTTCAAGATGCACACACAAGCGCTGCACAGGCGCTGTTCTCTCGTGGATAGGGAACTCAAAGATACGCCAGGCTGCTTCATATGATGACAAACTTCTGCAGTCCAAGTACTGTTTTATCTCGTCAATTGGCGGAGGTGGTCCGGTTACAGTTGAGGAAGAAGAGGGCTGATCATGATTCTCTGCAACCACCATAGAACGATCGGGGCCTTTGGTGATATATTTGAAGAGGTACTTAATCAAACGTCCTTGGTGGCAAAGTTCGACATTTATATGAGCTTGGAAAAGGACAAGCAAGTTTCTGTTATACGGAACAATGTATCGATTATCAAGTATAGCCGATCCTTTTGGAGCTGATATGCCTGTGTCTCGTCTTCGATAAACTGTGTAGCCGTATTGATCCGTTGTTGTTTCTGAATTGAACGATTTGGGAAAGAATTTTGAACATGAGCCGTCTTTCATGCAGACATTGGATGGATTATCAGAACCACACGGACCATGAAGCATGAACTTTGTCACCATTTCATAGCCAACCGGATCTTGTTCTGGATCCGGCAATTCAGCAGTAATCGTCGAATCGATGTCAGCAGGCGAATTTAATTTATGCTTCTCATCCAGCCACAACAGAATATGAACGTGAGGTAGACCTCTTTTCTGAAACTCTACTGTTTTAATACCTGTGCGTTGAAAAAAGGCAGAGGAACATAGTGGTAATTAGGCAGAAGTACTGAAACTGAAGACATGATAACACATCATGAATGAACCAAGCAGATTAACTTACACCCAATGACAAAATACTGCAAATCGTAAAACTGTAACATTCGTATAAATAGCAGATATGGTAGATGGTCTTTGTGTATGGGACACTGAATTGATGGAGTTGATAGTGGTGGGTGTGGAGTTTTTGGAAATGAGCATTCTATGCCTAATCGAGACCACTAAAAAAGGTGGGACTCACCCTCATAATAACTACTCCTAAAGGGCAATATGAGAAAGAAGTAAAGAAAAGATAATCTCTCATCATGTTGCTTCTTTCCAAAATCTCCTGAGTGAGTTATTCACCGATACACCAAACAGTTTGATTAATACAGTAAAGGCACAAATGACTACTCAACAAAGAAAATCCAGTCACCACTAACAATAATGAAAAGAAGGAAAGAACCTACGTTGTTTTAAACTTCCATAATCTCCTTAATTACTTGGCAGCTAACAAACTGTGGTTTGTTACATTTTACTATTTAGTGAAGAGTGCTAACTAAGTGTGTACGATTCAGGTCATCAACCTACTGGAACGGACTGACGAGAACTTGAATCATCATCTCACTCACTCCCGGCCTTATAAAAAAAAAAAGAACTAATTAAGTAACCTTATAAAAATAAAGTGCTAATTAAGCAACTGTAGCCAATGTACTGAGTAACTTGGAACTCGACTAACTTCTAAATAGAGTACTTCCCACTTAGAATTAGTATCACTGGAATGGGAACGACAATATTACTAAGAATGAGGAAGTCAATCTCTACAGTAACGAAGTCAGTGTGGTTCACTTTTCATGAACCTGAACCATAACAAAAAGAAGAGGAAAGGGATGTTTGCAATATACGAAAGGCATGCACATGAAAAAGTAGCTCCATAAAAAATGAAAGCGATAAAACATGCGGTATAGAGAATGGTAAGGCAAACCTGCAACTGTTTTTCCAAAAAATTGTGACCTTGTAAGCTCATCCTTAAGAGCATTAAGTTTCATCCGAAAAACCCGAGCAACTATCTGTGGTTTCAGCTCACTTCTGGATCCGCACAGTTCACGAAGCGATTCTGTTATCTCGGGCCACTGAGAGTTGCAGGTAAAGGTGATGAAAAGATCCGGACTACCATGATGGTGAACAACAGCCATTGCATCTAAATACAACTGTTTCATGTACCGAGGACTACCGGTATAGGACGATGGAAGGACAGCATGGCCAACATCATCACCTGTAACATCACCTCTGTGAAAAGCGTGTGAGACCCTGATACAACTCAGCACGAAGTTCTTCCTGATGAGTACGTAAATAATAAAGCCTGTTCTGTTCAACTATGGAGAATGCATCAACTATATAGTGCTGCAAAGCTTTTCCTCCACGCATCAATGTTTGTCCTTCATCATCCCTGTGCTGTAAACGAAATGCATAATATTCACGCTGAGTTATATACTTGCGTTTCAAAGTTGGCGGTACATGTACTGGATCATACGGTATCTTGACGTGGAAGCCATCTTCTCCATATGGAAAAAGCACAGGGAAATGTAATGCATCAAACTTAGGATTGACACTTGTAATTATTTTGAGACCTTCAGAGCGGTGATCTATAATAATATCTCGTTCGCCCTTGTCAGGGACAAAATCCCCAGGAATTAAGCCTGCCAGTTCAGAACCTGTTGGGAGGTCATACTGTCGATTTGTAGTGTCTCTAGCCCCGACTATTCGTAGCCTCATATTTGTAGTCAGTGGATCAGCAAGTTGACTGCGAATTCTCCTGAATGACTTAACTAATTCGTTGGTAACGTCAAACAACTTCATAAGTCCAGACACAATATCAGGCCTCAGAGAAGCATCCGGCAACGAAAAATGGTGCAGCCTATCGACAAGTTCAGTGTGGGGATCGAATACATACAATTGTGAATACCTCGGTCGATGCCCGTCCACTGGAAGCAAAGAACCCATGCGGTGATAATTTTCACCACAGATGACAAATGAATACGGGCCACGTGTCCGAGAAGCACGCGCATCTAGTTGAGCTCCAAATGACGTGAAAGAGAAAGCAGCATTGTATGACCGAATATGTTCTCGGAAGTGGGCAACCATTGGTCCACCATTTATGCCCAGCAGTTGTTCGAGATAAGGAGGAGTTTCCTGGAGGAAAGGGAGCCTAACCTGACCTTTTTGGCAGCACATAGTGTAGATAGGCGCAGTTGAGCGATGTCGAGAAAGTCGTTCCTCATACCAAAACCGAGCACCACAAAACTGGCATTCATAATCAGGCAAGCCATGGGTGATTATTCGAGTAAACTGAGGTTGTCGAGCAGGTAGAATAGATGGGTCAGGTGTGAGTGGAGGAACAGTGGAAGGGCCGGCAGATGGAGACTCAGGAGGTTCACTGGAGTTTGCTGGAATAGATAATGACTCGCCTTCTAAAAGAGGACACAGACGTGAACGACGGTCAATCCTGGAAATACGGCGTCGTTGAGGTGAATTGGAAGGAGGTGTTGGTGGAGCAAAAGAAGGAGCAAGCATGACATGGCGGCGCTTCCTGTTACTTGAACGACTAGGAATCAGATTGGTTGACTGGCCAGCGGAAGACTGAACAGAGCAATACAAACAGTCAGGACTAAGTTGGCAGAATAAAGAGTTAAGGTAGAATAAAGGATCGAATAGCAGGCGAAAAACTAACTCACAAAGTACAAGTAAATACAAACAAAAACGGAAATGGTAAGCAATGAATACCAGTCAAAATTGCAGCAAATGTTCTAGCAAAGAGAGAACGCACGATGTAATGGAACAATCATTTACAAAATTTATGATCTTACCATTACTTGTGGAGTTAAGGTAGAAACCCACAAAGTGCGTACAAACCTGAAGTAAAAAGAAAGCAGGTGAATAATAATGAAGATGGTAATACACAAAATAGCCATTATGGTCCCATATGACGTGTAGGGAGAAGTATATGCATGAGAAAGCATTTAAGAACATAGCACCTTTGTTTGAGAACCTAGACAGAATCAATGGATATGAATCGAAGAGAAGATGAATAGTTGTATCTGATTACTAAATATAAAAATGATGAAAGCAAAAGTAGAGGGCATGACATAAGATAAAAAAGTTGTCAGGTAGCAGAGGGAATAAACTAATGATGATTAGTAGGATATGATGGTTTTCATTTAATACAAGTTAGAAGAGGGAGACTGGGGCCTTATAGGCGGAAAAAGTAATAGGCACCGCAAAAAAATAGACCTCTGCAGATGTTATTGAGAGCAAGCAAAGAGGGGAATGTCATAGCTACATACATAGGACAACCAAACAGATCGAGTCACTTTCTCTGCTATTGCTTGCAAAAAAACAATGTGAAATGCGAGTGCATGACAAGTAGCAAGAAAAAGACAACCATAGTAGAACACAATGCTGAGCCCTATACACTGAAAGACGTCAGGCAAGCGATTAGCAATTCAACCATGGGAAATACTGGGAAGATACCAACTGACAAGAGTGGTGGTACACTTCCTCATCCAGAAGGTTAAAACCGGGTAGAATAAGTACAAAATGCAAGTAACCATGTGCATAGCAAAAAGTGGACAGGGAGCAAAGTTGCTATAGTGTTCAGCACAGGCATGGTATGAAGAGACACCATTGGTAACCATGTGCAAAGCAAAAAGCCGACAGGGAGCAAAGTTGCTACAATGTCGAGCACAGGCATGGCAAAAGGAGACACTGTCCGGCATTGTTGGACGACGCAAAACACAACACAAAGAAGCAAAAGCGACGCTGACTTTGTGGAGACAGTTAACTTCTTAACCGATGAAAAGTTGTTTCCTAGCAGACTTCTTACGGGCTGCTCCAGCATGAGTCTTCTTTGCTTGAGCAGCAGATTCAATGACTTTTCTAGATGGGGTCCGCGAACGTTTAGAACGGCCAAGCGTCTCAACAACTGGTGGGTTAAGAAGCATCTGATCAGCAGTGACTGGGTCATCTACAATTGCAGCAGAGGCTCCACAGACAGCACCAGGCACCAAAACATCATCTAGCAATGTATGATCCGACAGGGGCGAGCCATCTTGAATTCTTGATGTAGTAAGTTGGTAGTTGGCAAGTTGACAGCATGTCCAGGAGAGACCAAACGTCGGCGGGGCGAATAGGTTACGAGCTGGGGGATGACTTTCTCTCTAAAAGGCAAAAAGGAAAGGAAAGCTATAAATGCAGGCTGTGAAAGTAATGGTAAAACATTAATCCAAGAAGTGGCACGAAACACACTTTTGAACTGAAGCATCGTCAACCAGTTGAGCCCGCAGGGGACGGTTGGCTGTCTTGCGTGGTGTGCGCGAAAAAACCAGGTCGTCAGAGTCACTCACAGGACAAGAACGATCCTGTAGATCCCTGCAAATATCAAAGTTGATGTCATAGGAAAGCAAGAAAGAGTAAAGGACCAAAAAAAGCAAAGGAAAAGAAAGGGTACGCACAGAGCAGTTACAGGAGTCGGCTCAGAATGTTCTTTATCCGAAGTACCCACCACACTGGGAAAACAATGACAAGATAATGAGCCTTCAATTAAGCAAGTAATGAAAAGCAAGCTTTTCTATGTAATTCTCGACCCTAATGCACCAGGTGGAACGAACCACGGTTGAAAGGTAGTTTTGGTGGAAGACATCTTCCGCGATAGCTTCTTCCTCTGTGGCGGGACGACTTCAGCAAGTCTCACGTCAACATGGCTGTTGCAAAGAAAGAAAAGCACCGATAAAAATAATGAGATTTCAATTCGATAAGGAAGGAGACGGTAGTCGTTGTACATGACGATGGACTTTAAGAAACCACTTCTAAATAGTTTGTAACGGATATGATAGGAGAAGTTAACCAAGAAAGCGATTGAGTTCATATAACAAATTCCCGGTCTGAATGCACCATGCACGAATACTTTGAAATAAGAAGGGGAAAAGGAAATCGACGCAAGGCAAACCATCCTGTGAAGACAGGCAAAAAAAAAATGCATCACAAGCAAACAGACCTCGAATGAAGGGCAGCCCTGGTCGGAGTTGTTTTCCGCGCTCGCTTCCTCCTTTGCGGTAAGATAACAGCAGGAGTTTCCGGTTCAGCATTGCTGGGTCAAGCAAAGAAAACAACCGATAAAATAATGACGTATCAGTTTGCGCAACAGAGAGGCAAGTGGTTCCATGTAACTATATACCAAAATGATGGTTTCTTAAGCTCTAGCTATTCTAACCAACAAAGTTCACAAATTCACAAATGATGATACTACCATTTTAGAATTCATAAATGCACAACATAAATTCGGCAAACTTACAAACATTGAGTATGTAGTCGATAGAAATCAGGGCTCTCACTGTCTAGCAAGCACCAAGAAGGACAGACCTAAAAGCGGAGAAGGATGACCGCAACCAACACCACAGTTAAATTAGGCAGAGTACATATTGTCTTTACACTTTAACAGAGCGAGGTGGAAGGGCAGTTCAACACGCATTCAATTACAGTATTCGACCATTATTTAAATGAGGCAGAAAACATGCATGTACCATAAGCGATCTATGAACAACTACATCAAGTCCCTAAGGCAGCATGACCTTCTCCTTTCACACCAAATTAAAGTGTTGGTGTATTTTGCTTTACAATACTATACCGAGCATGGCATGAAACTTTCGTTCCAATGCAAACTGGAACTGAACTCAAAATCATACCAACAAAGTCAACCAAATGCATCAAATTTAGAAAGATAAATATAACTGGAAAGAACATGCTGGGAAGAATAGTCCCAGTATGGTACACTTCGAGATAGTATATCCCCATTGACAAGGGTACATAATAGATGTACACATGATATCTTTATCTATTTCCAGGAATGCAAATCCAAAGCACTCACTTTCACAAACCAAGAACGTAACGATATTTCCAAATACACTCAGTATGTAAAATAAAATAACATCAAATCTATAAGACAAGGAATAACGTCCTTTCAAACACTTTACATTTCCCCTATTCTTCTTATATATATAGCTAAAAACTTCCAGTTCCAATTTCAATACCAATAAGGCTAAAGTATAATAGCATTAAGCAAAATACACCAAGACTCCACATTTATAACAACGCAACGAACCTTGGTTGAAGAGTAGCCTTGTCTGTAGCCTTTTTGCATGGCCGTTGCGCCTTTGTTGGAACGGTTACGGCAGCAGTATCCAATTCAACACGGCTGGTTTAAAGAAAGAAGAGAAATCATAAACAAGAAGGCAAATAGGTTCGAGGAATAAGGGTAGGAATTACTTAGGAGCATGCTGCAATTCATCTGACTGAGCAGCAACCACAGAGCGCGGCCTGAGCGTTCGAAAAAGCCAAATAAGGGGGGGGGGGGAATTAATGACGTGCGACTGAAAAAGTGAACAGCAACTTGAACGCAAAAAGGACCCAGGAAAAGAGACTCACTTTGCATACAAAGTTGGCGGGCCTGCAGGCGTTCCAAGATGCGAGCTGAACCGAATGCAAATGATATAAACAGAGCGGATACAGTAGGGTACAAAAATAATGTAGAAAGATAGCAAAATCACAGGACAGGATCAGCAGGTGGAAAACACGGGGAACAAAATAGTAACAAAGGCAATACCACTAAAATAAGCACAAAGTTTACTATTAATGAAAAACTGTATACAGATAATGAGCGAAGAGCATACGACCTCAGAGATGGGGCAGGGGAAGGAGAGGAGAAACCAGAAGTACTGGCACTGTAATTAAAAAGCGCATCGGTCAGCAAAGATTATAGATAGAAAGAAAAGCAGAAGAAAACACTACCAGAGAAAAACAACAAAGACATGTATTGTAAGAGAACACAGAAGTGGTGTCCATGACACCAAAGCACATATAGAAAGGAATGAAAAAAGTAGTGGAGGGAAAAATGCGTAACACTACAAACCTAGCAGAGTTAGACGACAGGGTGACTGAGTTTCTCTGAC